TTCTCTTATGTTTATGGCTCTATTATTCTGTTTTGGAACTATTATCACGTTTGGGATGTTTGTGAAACACAAAGACACTCCAATAGTAAAAGCCAATAACCGGACCTTCAGCTTCATCCTTCTCATCTCACTGATCCTGTCCTTTCTTTGTCCTCTGCTCTTCATCGGACGTCCCACAAAGATCTCCTGTCTTCTCCGACAAGCTGTTTTTGGGGCAATTTTCTCTGTTGCAGTTTCTTCGGTTTTGGCTAAAACAGTTACTGTTGTTTTGGCTTTTAATGTCACCAGACCTAACAGTATTAACAAGTGGATGATGAAACAATTCTCTGTTTTCCTCCTGATTATCTGCTCTTCTGGGCAGCTTGTGATCTGTATCTTCTGGTTTGTCTTTTCCCCACCATTCCCAGAGTATGACAACCAAGTAGAGATGGGAAAGATGATATTACAGTGTAACGAGGGCTCTGTCACTGCTTTCTACATTGTGATTGGCTACATGGGAGGTCTGGCTGTGTTCAGCTTTATTGTAGCATTTTTAGCCAGGAAACTTCCCGACACGTTCAATGAAGCTCAGTACATCACATTCAGCATGCTGGTCTTCTGCAGTGTTTGGATCTCCTTCATCCCAGCCTACCTCAGCACCAAAGGGAAATACATGGTGGCTGTGGAGGTCTTCGCCATCTTGTCCTCCAGTGCTGGACTCCTGGGCTGCATCTTCATTCCCAAATGTTACATCATTCTGATGAGACCGGAGCTGAATGTGAAGGCGACTGTAGCCCAAAGAAAAGCACTTCAGTAAAAATATAAAATACTTTTTGGCATTAAACGTAATGCTGTGACACATGGAATATAAATTGTAGCAAAATAAATTACTTTCCTTGAGAACGTAAAGTTTGGTAAAAAGAGTTGGTTATCGATATGCAGCTCTCCTGTCTAGAGATACACAAATCATTACCCCACCGGCCCTTCCGTCTCCCAGTAGTCATATATGGTTGAATGCCCGACGCCTTTTAGGTTCCCAGTGGCGGCCCCAGGGAGTTGCTAGCCTAGAGGGGGGAGACCCGGTGGAACCTCTCCTTCCTTTGCCTTTTCCACCTCACACCTGCACCCGGACGGGACGCCTGCACTCCTTCAGCTCAGCCTTTCCTTGACTTCTCCTTCATCCTTTTGTATTTCCTATTTCGGGAGGATAGTGTGGACGCACACAATTGATCCGGCAGCGTAGTTAGACATAGGATTTGGTTGTCACTGTACACACCTGACACAGCCCAGGGACATTCTCTACGATACAATCTAAATCTTTGCTAAAAACACTCATAGGTCCAATGGGGTGTCAGGGCCAGACGATTCAGACCGGGTGGTGTAGTCATGACGTTGAAGACTTTTCTTGCATGTATGCCATGTACTTGTATGTTATGCTTACTTATGCCTCTTTTGAACATGCTTGTATCGCATATGAGATCAGTTAATAAAAGAATTTTAAAAAAAAAACAGTTGGTTATTGATTAGAAATACAAAAACAACAACTGAAATGAGATATAAATACAAACAAAAGAAACAACTCTTCTCTCTCCATTTTGCTTCAATTTGGGTCCATTCAGTGACATCATGTTGGAAAGAAAACAGCTTGTGGTGTGTTCCCATAGTGCTCTGATGATCCTTTTTCAGGGGAAACCCTTTGTTATATCTTTATTTGTAAAACATATGTATCATATATCAGATTAAAACCATACATAGAACATCTCTGCAATGTGTGCACATTTACTTGTGTTTTATCCCTTTTAAAATGCTGCAAGTACAGATACATACCTGTTGATCTGCCACACATCTTACATGCTCCTAACTTCCTGTTTGATCTGATAACATACGGCTTCTTCTGGACTAAAATTATAAACATACCATGTTCTTATAATGTATAAAATGCTCTTATGAAAAACTGGAGGCTGACTGCTTTGCGTCATGATAGTCTGTACTCGATTGGGAAGGCATTCCTCCAGACTTCAGAGTGTGTCTGGGGGAATTTGTGCCTATTCAGCCAAAAGAGCATTTGTGAGGTCAGGTTCTGATGTTGGAGGAGAAGACCCGGCTCACAATCGATGTTCCAGTTCATGTCAAAGGTGTTCAGTAGGGTTGAGGTCAGGGCTCTGTGCAGGACTTTTAAATTCCTTCATACTGAACAAGTCAAATCATGTCTTTATGGAGTTGGCTTTGTGCATAGGGGGAACAATCATGCTGAAACAGAAAAGGGTTTTCCCCAAACTATTGCTCAAGATTGACAGATTGCTATTGTCTACTGTATAGTGATACCTTACAAAAACAGAATACTAAATTAATATACGCAAACTATTTCCACCTGTTTGGGTCTCTATGCAAAGTTACTGTATCTCACATATATTGTTTGTATCCCCATGAAGAGATCCCAGATCAGGACCAACAATATTAAATATATCTATATGTCTATAGTCCTTTGTATACTGTAACATTAACAATACTCTTCACTGGAAACATCTCCCCCTCCCTCCCACACCAGGCCACATGCCCTCAGCACTGGGAGGGTGTCCCCATGCCGATGGAGACAAGGGCCTCGTCCTCACAACCCTGACTCGGTGGTTGTGGGGGTCTGCGGGCCAGTGGGCTTATTTGCATCGGGGTACCCCTTTAATTAAGGGGGCACCCAGATGCTGCCCCCCTCCCTTGTGAATGAGTAATGGGTACTTGTACCACTACCCATTCACTAAAGGGTTAAATAAAATAGTTTTTAAAAAGTCCAGACTTTTAATAAAATCTTTTAATTAAAAAAAAAAACAAAATACATGTTTTTAATAAGTCTTTTATTAGTGGAAAAAAAAATGGATCCACCGATGTAATCAAGCGTCAATCACGGCGTCCAGCATTGTCCACGACAATGACAAAATAAAAAAATAAAACAATAAAAATTAAAGAGAAATAATAATTAAAAAAAAAACGCCGCCCGCTGTCCCGTCCGCTCTGCGCCGACTCCCTCCGCATAATGGCATTTTGACAGATGCCACACCTCCTCTACGTTCCTCCCCCATCTTCCACTCTATTTCCTCTGCTCCTGTCCCTCATACCATACTCAGGACGACAAATCTAGTGGTCACCATCTTGTGGTGACTGCCTGCTCAGCCATCTGTCCCAAATATTGTAGAATTTTGGCATATTACCCCTGTGTTTGTAAGTGATTTTTTCTTCCAGTGTTATAAGACGATCCAACTCCATCATCCAAGTCCTTGCCGTTAGTGCGACATGGGACACCCACAGGAGGGCAATAGTCCTCCTTGCTGCAAATAGAGCCCTAGATACAGCACCCACGGTGTGGTCATCCCATGCGGAGGTGTCAAACACACCTAGAAGGCAAACTAATGGAGAGCAGGGGGAGTTGGGTCATAAAGGTAGAGTTAACATATTGCACCACTTCATCCCAATACCTCACCAGTTTGGGACAACGCCACATCAGATGTATAAGGTAACCAGGCTCGATGCCACATTTGGGACATTTAGAATCTGTTCTCACTCCAATTCTAAAGAGGAACTCTGGGGTGCGGTATGTTCTGTGCAAGATGAACAGCTGATTCAGCCTGTGAGAGGAGGACAGGGAGGAGGCACCAACTGAAGCCATGGCACTGTCCCACTCCTCCTCTGTAAGGGTCCCCAGATCCTCCTCCCAGGCCGACCTACATCGGAGAGGATATTTTCTCAAAGTGCGAGAGTATGTGGGAGTATAATAGGGAGACGACACCTTTGGTGTGTGGGGAAAGTGCAATTTGGTCTAGGAGTGGAACCTTATTATTATTATTATTATTATTACATAGTATTTATATAGCGCCAACAGTTTGCGCAGCGCTTTACAATGTAAGGAAGACATTACAATTACAATACAATTCAAGACAGGATGGTAAGGAGGACCCTGCCCCTGAGGGCTTACAATCTGAAAGAGGAGGGGGAAATGATACATGAGGAGGTAGCTGTGTGGGGATGAATTGTTTGAGAATGTGATGGTTCAGTGGTTAGGTTGAGGTGGGATAGAACCTTGGATATATGTATTGGACCAGCCCCAGGGTGTGTAGACAGGGCATGTCTCAGCTGAAGATACTGATAGAATTGGGTCTTCTTTAAATTAAATCTAGATTGGAGTTGCTGAAATGAGCATAGTGTGCCTTCATCATAGACCTGGGATAGGAGGTGTATTCCCTCACCCCTCCATGAGACAAAGCCCAGTAGTTTGTGTACCTCTTGCAGTTTACCATTATCCCAAAGTGGGGTAAAGGTAGTAATCTCAGAGAGCCCCAACAGGGTTCTGACAGACACCCAGACCCTGGCCAGCAGTTTTGGTGTTGGGAGATCGGAGCGGGACAGCAGAGTGGTGTCCAGCAGTGATAGCGGGACTTCAGGCAGGAACATGTGTGCGAATAGCCTGGCGTTAGCGGCGAGGTCTTCAGTGAGCGACCAGCCCACCAGGTGCTGAAGTTACGAGGGTACACAACCCTGCGGGGCAGTGCCATTGTTTAAACTCAAAAAAATAGACATTTCCTCCTCTAGCGATGCACCGTCGGGAAACAGCGTCAGCCAATACGGATTCAGTTTCCAAGGCAGGGATGGGGGCTGTCTACCTGCTCTAAAAGTGGTAAGTATGGGGGCATGATCTGACAGGGACCTGGGCAAAATATCCACCTCAATAATCAGGGGAAGAAACTCGGAAGAGCATAGAGCATAATCTAGCCGGGAGAGGGATCTGTGTGTGGTCGAAAAGCAGGTGAACTGTGCAGTATTTGGATGAAGACTGCGCCACGCATCTACCATGCCTACCACGGAGCAAAATTTGTGAAATCCGGAATAGCTGGGGGTCTGGGCAGTTGCTGAAGAGGATGACCTCTCGTTGTGGAGTGTCGAGTGACGAACATAGAACTCACAACCTTCATTGCCTGTAACCGTCCCATACAGCCACACCCTAAGACAACGTAGCAGTGGAAACACTTCACCAGTCAGGAAGGGAGCAGGAGGGCTGGACGCTCGGAGACCTTGGTCCCCTGATGACCGTGCACCTAGCCGCACTACTAAGCGCAAGTACTCTGGGTCATATTGCTATTACCGATGTTATCTGCATTACGGTGCACTGTCATTTGCATTGCTCCGTCTGGAAGGTCGCTTACCAACCCCGCTATTAACTCCTCACACTACTTATGCTATGAATGTATGAACTGTTAATTGCTTGCAACTGATAACACATCGCATAAGGAGGAATTATTTTATCGCTTGCATTTGCTTCAACCTGTCTGTATATTGCATGTGTGGTCTGCTTAAATTGCCTCAAGCTTGCTGAAGTTGCACGCACACAGCTGCTTATACTTGCTTCCCTCTACATAACCTGACTAATTAGATCTGCATAAGTTACTGCTGCTTAATCATATTGGACTGCAACCTGTTATCTCTTTAATTGTGGACATTCAATCGCACTCATTAATTCAAATTAACTACCAACTACCCTAGGGGAACTACACCCTGCCAGACTGTAGGAGCTGTCTATGTTTGCCATAGGCCAAGTATTCCTCTTATATACAGTGGCTAGTATCTTCCCACATACCTCTCCAAATACATCATAGGCCAACTCATTCGTTAAACGCAGTGGTGCATGATGTGTACGGTCTCCCTACGGCAAGTGTAATAGGGAACCGCTCACTGAACCACCGCTTCAAGACAACTCAGCCTCAGTTCCGCAGCTGTGATCCAGTTTTATATATCACCCATGACAGGTATTGGCTGTTTGTTTTTAATGAAAAG